AATGTTGCATTCCCCCCCCCCCTCCCCCCCCCAAAAAAATAAATATATTATTATTTAATTTCTTTATTCTACACCCTTATCCTAAATAGGGGGTCTGGATGGATTTTAAGGGGGACCCCATGCAGAAAAAAAACAAAGAAAAAAAAGAGGTAGAGTTCCCTCCTTTGCCATGAGAGTCCTCAATCCCTACTTTACATTAGAGTGCTACCTTTTATAATCTTCACTAGAGTGTGGCCGAATGCTAGGAGACATCCTGGATGCAGCCCACCCTGGATAAGCGTCATGCGTCTCCATGGTACTGGTGACCAGCTTATCTGCCCCATGGAAATGCATTACACTGTACAAAAGTTTGTACGAAAGGCAGCCCGACAAAGCCAGAAGTCACCCCAGGGTATCACGGCACTCTGGCTGAGAAAGGCCGTTCTACTTTATAAGGAAATGTAGGAGAATCTTTGCCAAAGAGCTGATTCTTTCAAGAAACTGATTTTATTATGAAGTTGTTCTGAATAATTATGTAATTTGGCAAACACTGAATATTCTTCTGGTATAATGAGGTTTTCTCTCAAACAGGTAAACTTTTCTCTGCATTGGAAATGACATGTAACTGTCCTAAAACTCCAGATGCCGCTTGCAACATGGAAGTGGACAAGGACTATTCCAAGGAGGTCGTTCGAATGGAATCGTATGCCCAGTTTCCCAGCAGCTGTCCAATCTCGGCACCAACGCTGGCACGTGCTGGCTTTGTTTACACTGGAATCCAAGACAGAGTAGAGTGCTTCAGCTGTAAAGCAATTGTTGAAGGCTGGCAGCACGGAGACACCGCCGTTGGCAAACACCGAAAAATCTCCCCTAATTGCAAATTCATGAATGCTTTCAGTTCGAGAAGTGAGTTGATTCAAACTCACGAACCCACATTTCAGAATTTTTATCCCCACTTGGAAATGAACTGTGCATCCAGTGAGGGTAAGCCTAAATTAGACTCTGAGACACAAGCTGATTTCTTATTAAGAACAGGGAGAGTTGTTGATGAGTCTGAGCCAAAATACCCGAAATATTTAAATCTGTCTAGTGAAGAAGCAAGACTGGAAACATTTAGGAACTGGCCAAGTTATGTCCGTGTTACAGGAAAGGACTTGGCAAATGCAGGACTTTTTTACACTGGTAGGGATGACCAAGTCAAGTGTTTCTGTTGTGGTGGAAAGCTGATGAACTGGGAACCTGGGGATATACCGTGGAATGAACACCGTAGACATTTTCCTGACTGCTTCTTTGTTCTGGGGAGGGATGTTGGGAATGTAGCTTTTGATTTCAACAGTATGCCTCACAGCAGACGAAGAGGTTCTGAGGTTCCTGAACATCCAGCAATGAGTCAGTATAAAGCTCGACTTGACAGCTTTGCGAAGTGGATTTCTCCCATCAACAAGGAGACACTTGCTAAAGCTGGATTTTATAGCACCGGTAAGAAAATATGTGACTATCACAGTCTTGATGAAATGTTTAATTGAAAAAAAGTCACAATAATAACTAATGCTGACAGAATGTAATGAAATGTCACTTGTGACAATTGACTGCTTACTGCAGGTATCTACAGGTGACAATACTTCAAACCTGCAGCAGTTTGCCCCCTTCTACCCTAGTGACTGTCTCTTTAATTGGACACACTGCACTGTTTGCCCCCTTCTACCCTAGTGACTGTCTCTTTAATTGGACACACTGCACTGTTTGCCCCCTTCTACCCTAGTGACTGTCTCTTTAATTGGTTACAGTCCATGTCCATTGCACTCCTGACCGCACATCCATCAGAATAACATGGGTGCTCGGTAGTTGACGGATGGCCACTGTCACAGTGATACAAAAGACTATGGACACCTGCACTCTAATGGCAGATAGAATACATCTATTTATTGACGTACATGCAGAAAGGTAGCATAGCACCTTTCTGCACGTATGTCAATAAATAGATGTATTCCATCTGCCATTAGAGTGCAGGTGTCCATAGTCTTTAGTCTCTTTAATTGGGCACACCGCACTGTTTGCCCCTTCTACCCTAGTGACCGTCTCATTGGGCACCATGGTAAGCTTACCAAAGTATTTATAACTTTGTTTTGTTACTTTACGGTAGGTGAGCAAGATTCAACAAAATGTTTTTATTGTGGAGGGGAGTTTAAAGATTGGAAACCAGGAGATGATCCATGGGAATTACATGCAAGATGGTACCCAGGGTAAGTCATGGCTCATGAAGAGTTTTTTGTTTATTTTTGTAAATTCTTTTGTTTTCACAGGACACGCTGTACATACATACACAATAAAGTCAGTACAACTATAACATCTACACTGACACTACCATAAAAAACATATGGAATCAAATAGCAACAACATTATTGGCATACAAACAGGGCAGACTGGGTGACAATAGTGAGCACAACTCCATCTGTTTCAAAAACTGTTCAAGCCGGTAGAAGAAAAGCAACAGAATTGCAGATGGAAAAGGCTAAAAAATGAGGGGAGGGGAGTTGAAGAGGGGGAGAGAAGGTGCAGGCAGCGCAAGTGATCCACCAGGGAGGCCAGCTCTAGGCCCCACTCTGGGTTCTCACTCCCCATGCACTCTTCCACCCAGGGCCGGCCTTAGGGGTGTGCGAGCAGTGCGGCCGCACAGGGCGCCATGGCAACAAGGGCGCCGTGCGGCCGACACAGCTCGTCCTGGGGGCGGCTTCTCTCCCCCTCACCGCTGGGCGCTGGCCATCCGATATGGCAGCGCTCCCTCGTCCGCGCAGGAGGGAGCGCTGCCTGCTGTCAGGATGGCGGAGCGGTGAGGGGGAGAGAGGGGTGTGGTCACTGAGGGGCGCTGTAAAGCTTTCTCGCACAGGGCGCCTAAAGGCCTAAGGCCGGCCCTGCTTCCACCCAGCTCCAACATCAGGGAACTGAATTCTTGAGAGCCAGTGAAGTATGTCCAAGAGAACCATGTGCAGTGAAACTGTTCTTCCCGATTTCCGCAGGGGAATTTCCTGCCTGCAGAGTATGGCAATGTATGTCCTAGCAACACTTACCAGACAATCAACAATTAGTGCTTATATCTACCCCGGGATAGAGGGAACAGGTAAAGAAGATAGGCAATGCCAAAACATCAGAAGAATTGTACCCATATGTTCCTTGCATCTCCAGCAAGTGGATGGAACGAGTCGGTAAATTTTGTGTAACAGAGCTGGGGTCCTGTACCAACTGGTCAAGATTTTGTATCCTGACTCTTGGAGTCTGGTTGAGATGGAGGACCGGTGGGAAAAGAACAGGGTTCTGTTCAGGGTTAAGGGTTAAACTTAAGCATAATTTCTGTGCGGTCCCTCACAGCGTTGGGAGTCTAGGTGGATCACTCTGAGTTACCTTATGTGTAATGGCTGATTTGGGATAATCATCAGCATAGTGTCTATATAGTTCGCACTCTTGCCTTGCAGATCTGGGTCCTGAGTTTGAATCACCCCAAGGATGTTACCTGCATGGAGTTTGTATATTCTCTGGGTTTTTCATGGGTTTCTTGCTACAGGTCAGCTAGCTTCCTTTCAAAAATTGTCTCTATTGTGAGGGTGGCAGGGACATTGCATTGTGAGCACCTTTTGAAGGAACTGATGCAAATGGTTCTTTGTGCTCTCTAGAGTGACGTGTAATGTAGCAGTGCTATATAAAAGGAAACATCGAGACGATTTGCAGACTTTGTAAAACAGGATCACATCTAACATGCTAAAGATGGGTATATCACAGCCTGGATTATTCCTTGCTGCATTTACTGTTTATTGAATAGCTTTCTAGCCATATTTTCAGCATTCCCAGGTTTGTTAGGACTTGGTACTTTCTCCTATAGTAAGCAGGGGTTTGGCTTTATATTGTCTATAGACTTTGGATGGAGGCTGGAAGTGAAGGTTCAATATAAGTGCCAAATTATCTCTTGTGCCCCCTTCATGCGTTTATGTACTTGTTGAGACAGAAAGTAAATGTGGTAGGTTTGGTTATTATATCTATGGGTAGGCGCCTTCACTTCATGTTATCAGATGGTGTGGGGTTGGGGGAACGGAATGGGACAAATGAATCTATAACTGGCATTGATTTGACTTGAATTTCACCTGATATTAGTCTGTTGCATTCCATGTACAGCAGAGCTTGGAGAAGAGGAAAGAGTAGCAGTACAAGGTGCCAATTGGTTCTACTGCAGTACAGGAAACATGCTGATAAGGGGTAGAGAGCAGAGTGACAAAGATGAGCTCATCAGTGTGCTGATTCTCCCTTTCCTGTCTGGTAGGGGGTGGGGAGGAGACCGGTAAGTAAATTGAAACCACATCAGAGAAAGATCAGGCCTCCTTCCCTGCTAGGCAGGACTGTGCTGTATTGCATAGCTGAGTAAATCTTAGGAGGGGATGGACAGAAATTCAAATCTTTTGACCAGTGAAATAGCTCTCGTGTATTTTTCTTCTGTGTATGTAGCTGTTTGCATTGAGGTAAGCTTTGTTTTAAGTTTGTATTTCCATAATGACTAAAAGCAGAAGAGAGATTTGGGGCATGCTCACACCATCTCCAGACCATAGTGTTTTGTGTCCGCACTTGCAATGCATCCCAGTGCAAACAGTTCCAGTGCAGTGGGGAAAAAAATGCTGCATGCCCTATTTTTTTTTTTTTCTGGTCTGGAACGCACCAAAACGCTTGTAAATGCAACTGGACCCCACCTGAAAGCCCATTTTAAGCTACAAAAAAATGTCAACATGCACTGCATATGCAGAACACATGTAGATCTGGTCTGGACATGGTGTGAACAAGCCCTCAATACTCTGTTGTCTGAGGGCCAAATTCAATGGTTGTTGTCCAGAATAATTTGTCTCTAGGGTGCTTTTTCTAAAGTTTAACATAGCAGTGTGCCTTCATTTTTCTTCTTACTGTGGTTGGCTGTAATTGACTTTTCTTATTGCAGATGCAAGTTTCTTGTTGATGAAAGGGGGCAGCATTTTGTTAATACTGTACAGCTAACCAGACCTCTGCCATCTAGGCTGGTAAGTTTCTGTGCTTGGGAATTATATAAATTCCAACCGGACGACTCGGTCTGTTAATTGTATCTACAACATGATGATGACACTACTTTTGTGGTTATTCATATTCCACGCCTTAAGGTGTGAGCATCACATGAACACTGTTTGTTTTTTCTTACAGTCATGTCATTGTTAGTCATGTCTACTGCAGAAGTATTTAACAGTAAATATTTAAAGGTTCACTCCACCTAATAACTAATACTTTAGTTTTTAACCCCTTCGTGACTGACGACGTACAGTGTACGTCGCCAGCATCGGGGCTGTTTAAACATAGCCGCCGGGACTCTGTTTAAACTTGTCGGCTTTACAACAGAAGCGATTCTGGCGACTTACCTGTCGCCAGATCGCTTCTGTGTCCCGAAGAAGGGGCCGCCCCCCGCCGGACACCCCCGCCGAGTCAAAGTAAAGTAAAAAAAACTTTTTTTAAATAAAATAAATCTAATAATAAAAAAGAATTTTTAAAGTCCCCTGCCCCCGCGAGCACACGCTTCGCCGCGTAAACACGCGTCGGGTGCGCCTACGTATGAAAACGATGAACGCGCTACACGTTGGGTATCGCCGCAAGCGCCGAACTGAGAGCAATAATTCTAGGGCCAGTATTTTGGGGTAACTCTAAATTGATGACCGGTGGGGGCTTTTAAAGCGTCTTCTATGGACTTTTTGGGGTACTGCAGTTATTAGCCGTTTCACGGACGCACGCAATTTGTAAACTGGGCATGTGGGGTATCGTTTTACTCGTAACCTCATCTTTTATATTCATTAAAAAAATGGGTATTGTGTTCTGGGGAATTTAATTACATTTGTCACTACATTTTGGGGTTTAATAAGGCGTTGCGCTAATATTGCGCTACATAAAAATTTGCAACTACCACCATTTTATTCTATAGGGTCTTGGCATTCAGAAAATATATAATGTTTGGGGGTTTAAAGTAATTTTCTGACCTAAAATGTGGAATATAACATAGGTGCAAAAAATTGAAAAAAGGCCTCAGTCATGAACGGGTTAACAGATGCTGGGGGGTCAAACCAGTTTGCAGCTTTTTATATTTCTGAAGGAATCGAGCAGCAAGATTTCTGTGCATGAAATCTTCTGGGCTGAACCAGGGATGCACCGATACCGTTTTTATCGGTATTGAATGAATGTATAATATATATATATATATATTCTTTGGTACTCGCCAATACCGGAATTCACATTAAGGAAGCTGGAGGCAGGTAATGACTCACTGCCCGGATTCCTGATTGGCCAGCTTCCCGACCTTTCAGGATGGCCAGGAAGCCAGGTCCATGCTCCCTGGTGACGATGGAGCCGGCTTCCCGGCCAGTCAGGAAGCCTGGCAACGTATAATGACTTGCTGCCTGGCTTCCTGATACCGGAAGTTCCAGTATCGGAATAGACATCGGGAGCATTTGGGCGATAACTCGTACTCGCCTAAATACTTGGTATCTGTGCATCCCTAGTCTGAACACCTACGGAGGGGGCATACTCTCCCTGATTTTTGTAATGCAATTTATATTATGGAGTCTGCAACAGGAAGAGCGAGTACACCTCTGTTCTAACAATAGAAGGGAGAGTCCAAGGTAATCTGAGCAGGACTGCAGTAACAATGGTGAAGAAGCCAGCAGGCGACATAATCTAAAACTTTAACTTGCATATCACTTATAGGTGCCCATACACTTTACAACCCTCGCAAGACTTTTGTCTTGCGAGGTTTGTAAAGTACTTTTTTTTAAAAAGTACGATCTGCCTATCTTGGACAGGCAGATCGTACTTGCGATGACTGCAATGAGGGGCGGGCTTCCGATGACTGCAAACGGGCAGTGTGCGTGTGCGCATACCGGCCTGTTCGGCAGTTGTCGAACAAGCAGACCACTGCTTATTCGACATCGTACGATTCCTGGCGGGTTTTCCAGCCTGCTTGTTCGATGGAAGACGTGCGACCGTACAGTAGAAACGTTTGCACGCCTTCCATACACTGCACCATTATCATACGATCGTGGGATTTCTTGCGATTCTCGTACAAGAATCATGCAGTGTATGGGCACCTTATTAGAGATTTACAGGTATGGAATACATCCTAGGCCAGTTAGTCAGAGGTATGAAATGCGATGATGTTTCTGGAGTTTGAAGCAAAGATAGACTTCTACTCATGCATGAGCATTCCTCTATAGCACTTTTCTTGGTAATTGGAGGCTTAAATGTTAATGCTCACTGTCACACAGGAGATGATTATAAGCAGAGTCCATTCAGAATAGATGAGTTGGGTATGGGTGGGTACAGCAAACTGACGCACACTTGACGCACACTTAAGGCTGCTTATACCTTCAGGGGTGTGAACATTAAAAAAAACAAACTACTTGTCCAAGACCCCTGACCTTTGTGTTTTAAGGGGTAAGGTCTCCTTTCTAAAGTCATAGTGGATGAGTGACACTGGAAGGCATGACTACACTAAGTATGCAGTAGAGTGTTGAACATTGTTCCTTGATCCATTGACCTGTACCTCTGTCTCTGCATCTAAACTTTCCGTGTGTGGAAATATGATTTTTTTCAGACCCCCATGCCTGAAGAAGATGTTCAGTTAGCAACAAGAAACATACCACCTACATTTTTACTATCCTTAGTAGGCTAAAGCTGGCCAAGGCCCTGATAGTCACTCTAGCCAGCCCTTCTTTTAATTAACAATGATGTACAAGAATGTAGCATGTGAGACAAAGCAAAGAAGTTCACCCTTACTAAGTCTAGGTAGACATTCTTTAAGCAATGAGACGTGTGTGTGTGTGTGTGTGTGTGTGTGTGTGTGTGTGTGTGTGTGTGTGTACACATTTTACAGCCATGTGAAGAAGTACACCCCATGGAATTTGACATTTTTAAAATATTTGAACAGGCAACCATTAGATATCCACCCAAAACACTATCTTCAGATAAAGGTAATATATTGGAATAAAAATGTAAGGAAAATTAGCCTTTTCTATTTTTATTTAATAAAAATATCAATAGATTTAATGGTGTATTATGTAAAACGTTAGTACACCCTTGGCCTCAGAAGTTGCTATAACACACTTCAATGGCAAACTGTACTCCTTGTTCTAAAGTTATTTTTTGACTGCAAAGGCTTTTTCTGGCACATCACACATACAGGTAAAATTGGTGCAATCTCTTTGTCTGTAGATGCATGCACTTTGAAAGTTACCTGCGTATCTTGCGGTGATATTTAGGGGTCTTGGAGACTTCTTTACGCATCAAACAGTCAATTCTTGATCTTTTGAATTTCAAAATATACATGCCGCTCGATCCCCAAAGTCAGACATCACTGGCCCAACCAGTCACCTCAGTCAGGTTACATAGTATTTTGAGGTTGAATAAAGACACAGGTCCATCAAGTTCAACCTTTTGTGTGTGTATGTGTGTCCCTTGTACCTTGTTTTTAATAGTACCTGTACCCCTGTATGATACGGTCTCTGAGGAAGGTATCGAATTGATTTTTGAATGATTCAATACTGAATAATTTAGGTGCAGGCTCCAAAACATAGGTGCTGGCGTAACTTAGATCCTGAAATTCCAAGGTAGAGCCGCACATTCGACATCATAAAATAATCCGATTTATTGAAAGTTTATACCATCCAAGTACACGGCAAAATCTTCCCACACCGATCCCATTGCCTCTCATGCGTTCCACCAGATAGGCTTAATCATAGGGACAATATTTTGCTGTGTACTTGAATGGTAAGAACTTTCAATAAATCCTAATTCTTTTATGATCTGTCTGATGTGCAGGCCTATGTTGGAAATTGTCAATTTTTGATATCCTCCTTATGTGTAGACACTCTTTGAATAAAGATCTAATATTTTCCTGTTCTAATATGTAGGAAAGAGTGAACAATTTCTATGTGGTGTACTTGCTCACGCAGTAACAGGATAATCTATATCCAGTCATGTGAAGTAGTAAGGGAGGTGTTTCCCCTTTGTTTACATAGGCCATTGGTAGTAGAGCTGAAATGGATTTCACAGTGGCCATTTCCAAATGTTAAGTGTCCAGTTGGTAACATGTGTTTTTTGGCATGACTGTAATAATTTGTGCACCATTGCACAAAAAAGTTTTAAATGCTAATCTCAATCTTTTTATTATTGTCTTGTAAACTGTCCTCCTATCCTCGTCCCAATATTGGCCGGTAATAGTACAATGATTTTATTCTTTTGATATTTTCTTTCAGCCAAGTGACATGCCACTTGCTCTACCTGAAGGTAAGCCAAAACTATGTAGTATTTCTCAGTAAAATATACATTTTACATTTCACATTTTAAAATATTAATAGACCAGTATGGTTGAAGGCGGAACCAGCTATGGTTATATTGGTTTACAATAGCATTTGGCTTTATAGGAGGAATTGTGTGTAGTATTAGTATTTGCCTGATTATACCTATACTTCTCAATCACTGGACTGATATTCAGTTTTCTTTGCCCCATACATATATACGTTATAGCCGATTCATGAGGAGTAATAAGATATTGCAGATTAGACAGGTGAATCCTACTCGGGACAGCCAGCGCTGTGACCTGTAGTTGGGTCATCATGCTCACATTTGAGGCTTGTTTTGGCAGACTAAAATATTTTGCCATTTGCTCTGGGGAAAAAAAGTATTCTTTTTTTCTGACGGGGTCATAAAGTGTTTGTCAGGCTCAATCTCATTCCTTTTTTATGTTTTTTTTTTTTTTTTTTTAT